GTACAAGCTGGATTTGCATTTCTGCAAGAGTGTTTTTTTTTTTTCTTTTACCACTCCCATCAAGCTTTAAGCGTCAGTTTTCTTCTCCTTCAGGGTCCCAACGTCCTAGGGCTGCTTGGGGGACCAGAAGCAGAGATGGAAACCTCTCAGCCCAGCCCAGTGTGGGTGGTTATTCTGGTGTTGCAAATGGGTAAAGCAAAAGGAAATGGAGGGGGAGGGGCAGAGACGTGTGCCCAGGAGGGCAGGATTGCCTGGGTGCCACCCTAGATGTTCCTTAGGGAACTCAGCTTCCGGGAAACACCTCTTCCAAGGAGCTCTTTGAATCTTTCTGTGCAACAAATCACAGCCCTGCCGGTGTGACCCTCCCTCCGGAGAGAGCAGGGATTGGGAAGGTGCCAGCACACGGTGCCCAGGAGCTGGGAGGCAGGACACGACTCCCTGCTACCTGTCTACACCTTTTTCCTTCCTTTAATTCTCATCCTCACTGGACAGAATCGCCCATCTGCTTCCTTCTCAAGAGATGGGCAGTTATTGCCGTTTTATAAGAGGAAAAAGAAATTCTATGCCTTAAACATTGGTTCTCATCTGTATACAATGCCAGAAAGAGCAAATGAAAGGAGAGGTAAAAAAAAATTATATCCGTAATGGACCACGGCAAGATAATAGTAATATCCAACATTCACTGACCGCTAGGCACTCCCATGTCACAGAGGAGAGACGGTACACAAGGGCGAGTGGATCAGGAAAGAAGTGGCCCGGCCCATTCTAAAGGCAGCACAGCTCTCTGAGGCTCCCAGGCCCGGGGCAGCCGCAGCCACACCCGGCTTCCCGTAAGCCTTCTCTCCTGGTCCTCACCAGCATCCCTTAGGCATCTTCTGCATGTGAGGCCATGGTGGCAACTGGTTAGCAGTAGGTCCTGGGTCTGAACCCAGAACCACAGAAGGCAGAGCCCCTTGGGCCACCATCACACCTGCTGTGACAGGGACAACCTCGGGTCTGCAAATACCCGACATTCCCTCTCCCAAGCTGTGCCTTCCTCTCCCTCACCGCTTCCCGCAGCACCCTCTCCTGGGGACACAGCATCCACTCGGATCCCACCCACAGCTTCTGTCCTCTTTGCCCACGACTTCTCCATCTGCACAATGGGCAGCCAACCAAGGCTCAGGCTTCAGGAGGTCTTAGGTGACCCGCGCAGCGCGTTGGCAAAGTCCTTGCTCGAAATTTCACAAGCAAGGGTTTTTTTGTCGCTCAGGGAACCTCAACCCGTGGCCCGAATGCCCGCCCCTCTGGGGTCCGATCTTCCAAGCACAGGTGAGGGAAAAAAAATGAGCTCAGAGAGGGGAGCCTTTCGCCCGAGGTCACACAGCCACCGGGTAAGGGTGGAGAGCAGTGTTGTGGAATTCCTGGCGGACGTCGGCGCCCGCTTGTCTGCCCGCTTCTGATACCCGGGTTCGGGAGAATAGGCCGCTAATAAGCGGCCCATTAGGAGGAATTGTCACTCCTCTGGGAGCGAGGTTGTCCCATTAGGGCGAATTGTCATTCCTCCTGGAGCGAGGTTGTCCCGGCTCCGCGCAGGCTGAGTGCCGGGGCCGAGAGCAATTAACGCGGCTCCGGCGCGGGCAGCCGCCTCTGCCCGGGGCAGCGGGGGCGGGGCGCCCGGCGCGGCTGGAGCCGGTCACCCGGCGCAGCCCCTTCCCCCGGAGCCCGCCTTTCATCTCCCCGCGCCTGGCGCCTGCCCGCAGCCCTGGCCCGTCTACAGCCCCCTTCGCGGCCCCTCCCCCGGCCTCCTCCTAGCCGCCAGGATCCAGCGATCAGGCCTCGGGGGTTCCAGTGCGGCGGAGCGCGCGCCGCGCTCCACAGTTTGCAAGGCGGGTTTTCGCCCTGGGACTCCCGGTGCACGTGCCCGGCCGCTCCTCCAAGGGGCCTGGCGCGGGTGAAATGCGCCCAGCTAGCGAGCGAGCGAGCGAAAGAGCGAGGAGGGCTGGGGGTCGTCCGCGCGCAGAGGCCTCCGTGCCACGCCGGGGTCGGGGTGGATTCACGGGACTCCCACTTCCTGCGTGGCTGACCTGGGGCAGCTCACTTTGAGGATTCCTAGCCTAAGGCTTTTTTTTTTTTTTTCCCATCTGTAAAACGGGGGAAATGACCTCCGCCCGAAGCGATGTGTTGAGAGAAACAAATGAGATCTCGGACAGGTCCAGGTATTTAAGCCCTGTCCGGGATTGACGTTTGACGGAGACTGAGTTCCGTTGCGAACCCCACGTCCCTGCTTGTGCGTACTGCAGCTACGCACACATCCCCGGGGCGCTAACCTGCCCCGGCCGCCTCCCCTCCGCGCAGACGGAGGGACTCGGTGGGCGCGGCCGGGGAAAACCAGCCCTGAGAAGGGACCTTCTTTCCAGGTTGACCGGAGGGAGAAGCTTCCGTGAAGGCGGGCGGTGCGCCTCGCTTTTGAATACCTGGCAGAGAGAAAGCCTTCGATAAACTGCTCTGGGTTTTGATAGATAATAATGTTTTTTAAATGGATCCACGCCCACTGACTTTATGGAGTCTGTTGAGTTTAATTACCCCAGGAGCTATCAAGGTGGGGATGATTAGCGCTCATTTTAGAGAGGCAGAGCAGCGCGCCCAAGGTCACGCCGCCGGGAAGAGGTGAATCGAGGGTTCTGGAAACGGAGCCAGCCTTGGAGCAAAGGCAGAGTCGCGCCTTGTGCACGGGGGGCTCCGGTGCTCTCGAGGTTCCAGCCTTTCCCCAGCTGTCTCCACCCCGGCACAGAGCTGGGAGAGCGAGAGCGAGGGTAGAGGGCATGGCCAACAGGTTGGCTGTCACCCTGGGCATCTCCTCGTAGGCAGAACCTGGCACTCTGGTTTTCAACACTAGCTGTTATTATTTTTTTAAAAATCTCTACCATTTTCCTATTTCTGGCTTCCGAATTTTCTTTCTTCCCGGACATCAGGACTCCAGAGTTTGTTAAAAGAGTTCCAGTGACTTTTTAAAATTATTATTATTCTAATATCCCAGGAATGAGTCTTCGAACCCGAAGCCGACAAATATTAACAATGAGTTTTCAGGATCAATCATAAAACATTGGCTGCGTCCTGACTAACCGAAAGTTGAACCCTTTTGTACACTTTGGCAGCTAAGGGCTAAACGAATTTCAGATTTGCTTCCAAAATATATAACCTACCCCTTGCCTTAAACATCTAGAAGGCAGAGAACTTAATCTGGATTTACCTGTACTGTATTTGAGATGACTATCAAGCCCACTGTCATCAACTATGACTCAAGGGGAAAATACATACATCTCTAGATAGCTTTCATAGTTATTGTTGTTTTTTTTTTTTAAACTTTCTCTAGGTTTCAGTTTGTTGAAGAGAGAGAGAAAAGAATGTGCATGTTGCTTGTGGTGCAGAGATCCAGAGGTTTTCAAAGGCTGTGTTTAAAATTTCTTGACTTTTCCAGGACACTCTAATCAAAATGAATTAACTGGCCAGTGAAAACTTTTTTTATACATATACTGTAAGACGCAGATCCCTTCTTCCAGGCCAGCCAAGTGTCAGTCCAGGCAAAGGTTTGGGACAGGACATCAGAGAGGTGTCCTGGGAAGAGTGGAAGGATCCGTAGGTCCAGGGGTCAAGTTTCTGAGACTCTTGAACTGGAAGATGGCCCCAGTGGTCATTCAGATAATGTAAAAACATTGTCCCTTCCGCCTGGCGCTGGAGGACTACTTAGCAAGCCTCTGTGGCGGCCAGGTGCTGAGGCGAGTGACTTCCTGTGCACCTTGTCCATGGCAAACTGGTCCTTCAGACACAGCTGTAACCTAGAAAGAGCCATTTCAGGTAAATTGTCTTCTTTGCGGGCGGCCTGGGGAGCTGCAGAGGATCCGTGTGCTCTCAGAGTTCTCTTTCTGCTTCCCAGGATGGAGACAGTCTGATCAAGGAGGCTTTGGGACGTGATTACTTAAGCTATAATTTGGGGTGGGGCAGGAATATCTGTGCTTACACACGCGCGCGCACACATACACACACAGGTGCAATGAATAAAAATGTACTTCCCAAAAGGATATGCGAAGGCCGGGGTTGTGCAAACTTGGGACCCTGTGTTTCTGAGACTTGGAAGCGGGAGGGAGACACTAAATAAAGTCGTCACCTTTTCCGCCCTCCCCATCCAAGCAAACACTGGCACCCAAACGCGCAAGACAAACACACGCAGGGACCCACAGTTGTTCTCGGTCTGGTCCAAGAAGTCGGATCAGGAGGTCCGGGGACCAGAAAGCACTTTTTTCAAGATTTCTTTTTTTTTTCTTTTTTTTTTTTTTTGTAACCGCCCTGGTTCTGTCCTCGGGGTGGGGGCGTTAGAGATGGGGGCGGCTGGCTTGAATTCTCCAGTCCGCTCCGTCTGGGAGTGGGCAGCCGCCGACCACCCCAGCGGCTCCCTCCCCGGCTCTGCTGTTCTTAGAGGAACGAGTTTTGCCGAGAGCGGCCGCGGCGAGCACTTGCTAAACGCGAGGCGCCCTTCGGAGCGCCGGGCCTGTTTTATGCCAAGGGATGTTCAGGGCTGACCTCTGCAGTTGTGAAGTTGGGGCGCACAGTAGGCGCTTCCCCCAAAGTTCCTGCAACGCCGGCTCCGGATTTGAAACACACTCTGGCGGCGGCGGCGGCGGGGGGCGTGGGATGGGCGCGGGGTACCCTTTAAAGAGGGGTCAAAGAGAGAAGAAATGAGACTCGGCGAACTTCCTCTTTAAATAATCGGCCTTAATTACGCCTTGGACTTTTCAGTTTTGGCGTGATTATAACCCTTGAGGGATCGCCTAATAACAGCTCTGCTGACTGCTCCTGTAATTAACTCCTAATTTATTTCAAACAGGAAAAAAAAAAAAAAAAGAGGCCCCAGCCTCCTGCGCCAGAGCCAATCGGAGACGAGCGCCCGTGGCGTCAGCGTCAGGGCCGGCGCCCATTGGCCGCGCCGAGTCTCCCACTTCCCCTTGGAGGAAAGGCTCGGCTCCCGGCGCGCCCCTCCCGGCTCCCCCCCAAAAAAAGTTGGAGTCGCGGCTGCCGGGGTTGCCAGCCGAGTCGCGCGCCGGGAGCTCCGCAGGACAGAGAAGTTATGGCTTCTCCGTCCAAAGGCAATGATCTGTTTTCGTCCGATGAGGAGGGCCCGGCCGTGGTGGCCGGGCCGGGCCCGGGGCCTGGGGGCGCCGAGGGAGCCGGCGAGGAGCGCCGCGTCAAGGTCTCCAGCCTGCCCTTCAGCGTGGAGGCGCTCATGTCGGACAAGAAGCCGCCCAAGGAGGCGTCGCCCCTGCCGGCCGACAGCGCCTCGGTCGGGGCCACCCTGCGGCCGCCGCTGCTGCTGCCGGGACACGGCGCCCGGGAAGCGCACAGCCCCGGGCCTCTGGTCAAGCCCTTCGAGACCGCCTCGGTCAAGTCGGAGAACTCAGAGGACGGCGCGGCGTGGATGCAGGAGCCCGGCCGATACTCGCCGCCACCCAGTGAGTGCGCGCCGGGGTCGGGGCGAGGGGTCGGCGGGTGCGTGGGGAGCTGGAGGGAGCTTTCGGGCAGGCGTCTGAGGCCGGGGGTGCCGAGGCGCCTCCGCTTGCGCCGTAAGCGAAGCGAGGAGTTCCGGACCCCTAGGTTTCCGTGCGCGTCCCAGGCACCCTCTGGGGAAATATCCGCACCGAACGCTCCCCGGATCCCTCTAACTGCACAAAGCGTCCAGCACCAGCGCGCACCCGCGGCTCCGGACTAGAGCGAACCGCCCGCTGGCTTTGCGGAGTTCTGCGCGGTGGTTCGCAGCCCTCGGCCTTGCTCCCCTGGGTCTTGACTCCCAGGGTCTCTGTCCTGGGAGTGGAGAGTACCCCACGGCTCAAGAGCGCTCGAATGTGTATCAGCAACGAGGCGGGTGCCCTGTCTCCTTTCAAAGCTCCACCCTGCCAGGTGCACCCCCATTTTAAAGATGCGCCAACTGGAGTCCAACCAGACATTGAGAAACCATGACTCTCTTTCGTGGGAACCGCGGATGTCGAAGCCCTCTCCCAGGAAAGGATGGTGGGCAGAGACTTGCCCCCGTCTTGCCCGAAAGGCTGGCTGCGACGTTTGAGCTTCGCCCGGAGCGGGCTGGAGCCAGAAGCGCTCTGGCTCCGCGGAGCTCACAGCAGTAATTAGTTTACGAAGTGATGGGCATTAGCGCCCCAGACCCGGATCCTCGCCAGAACCCCGGGACCTGTGGCTACCCCCTTGGTCAGTCGTGGGTGCCAGGCTTTTCGGAGGATTGAATTTGCTTGCCCGATTCAGCAACGACCGCTGGATTGGGCACTGGGGACCAGGTGTCTGAGCTCCCTCTGCTTGTGTTTCCTGCATTGGACCCCTCGGATTCCCCTCTTCCCCAGTGGGGACCAGCCTGTGGTCTGCACACCTGCCTCCAGCTTCCTGCTGCTGAGGCTGGGTTGATTTTTTTCCCCCTTCTACTTTAACTTGCATTTTGGGGCCTTGAATTCTTTTGCAATTTGAAGGAATCGTTGCCTGCAGTTTTTTGATTTCTACCCTCTGTCTTTCCCCCTCCTCTGGGCCCACCCTTTAGGAAAGGTGAGAAGGAAGGAGGCCCATGGAGGGACTTTCTCCAAAGCTTGGGGAGGGGAAGAAAAAAAAAAAACTTCTGTGTTTCCATCTTTCAACCCTGGAGACTTCAGATACACAGTGTCGGGTGAACAAAACAAGGCCATATACCCAGGCGTCAGTGGCTGTCCCCTCTGGCGGTCTCTCTCCACCCTGTTAGAAACTCTGAAAGACTCAAAGGGCGCAGAGATTAAGGACTCAAAGAATTTAAACTCTGGTTTGCACAGTGCTTTACAGCACTTTTCACCATGTGATCTTATCTGATCTCTGTGTAGCAGCAGCCAGCCAGCCCCTCGCTAGGTCCAGAGGGCGGCGGCAGCCATCCTTAGTCTGGGAACTTTTAGAAGATCACCTACCCGGGAAGCAGACAGGACTGGGACCACTGAAATAAAAATTAGCACTCACAACCCTGCCGAGCCATCGGTATTATTCCTCCACTTTAGTGACAGTGAAACCAAGCTCTTTTAAGACACTTCACTTGTTTAACACATTGCGAGCACTTGTATGTTCGTAAGCTGGGGCCCGTGGCCGGCGGGTGCATCAGCGATTTGGGCCTTGCATGGAGTAGAATGCATAGGTCCGGTATGCTGGCATGCTCAGGCCTCAAGGGTCTGGGGGGGGGTGGGATTCCTCAGCAGATTTTTCCAGAGCCCCTGGGGTTCTCCGTAAGGCAACCTTGGGCCCTGCCTGGAACTTCTACCCGACAAGACCTGGAGAGATCCTGAGGAAGGTTTCATTTAACACCCATGAAAAGTGGTCAGTGCGAGGAGCTTGGAGGTGGCAGCGGGTTCCCCAGGGTTGAAGCCCTGGGCCCCCGGGAGGGCCTGGGGCAGGAAGGAGCCAGCTGCCCAGACCTGGTTTTGTTATTCGGAGGAAGTAGGATAAATGCTGTTTTGCCTTGTATAATCGCATCCTTCCTCTGGCTGGTTTAAAATGGGGTGGAGGGAGGGGGTGGGGAGTGGCACACTGAGAGGAAGCCTTGCTCTGTTGCTTTGATACACATATGGGGACCCCTCGCCGCCTGGCTTTCATAATTCCAGTGCGGCCCCATGGAGCAGCTGGAGTTACCTTCCGCAGGCTCCTAGATGCTTCAGAACCCTTACGTGGCGCCGGGGGCTAGTGTGTGCCCTGAGTTGGGTGGCTGAGCTAGGAGGCTTGGCCACCGGAGAACTTCGAAGCCTGGACTAGGGAGGGGGAGAATTTTGCCCCGAAGGCCCTGTTCTGTTAGTTCATTTGTAAATGAAGAGGTAGGCTTCCCTCTGCTCTAGCTTTTTTGGGAGTTAGCACATGCAAAAGTCTAGACTTTTCTGCTCACCCACATTTCTATTCCTTTGATTACAGAACTCTTTTTCTTTCTTTAAATCAGTACGGTGATGGTTAACAATGTGACACCAGGACAGATCTGTTTCTTGTTGGAAGAGGAGGCTGGGTTGGGACTTGTGCTGTGTCACCCTCAAGGATGAACTGTAAACTCTTTCTTGGGCCACCGAAGTTACTGAACAAGAAATGCGACATTCTCCCAGGAGTACACCGGAGGAATTACTACTGTGGCTACATTTGGGAAATTAGCATAGCTCATAAAAGCCAAGTGCAGGACATTAATTGTTTAGCGTTCCAGCCCCATGGCTCCACACTCCTCCCCCTGCCCTTGAGGAAAACAAGTGCAAAGTTCTTGGTGCTGCAGGATCACAAGGATGCCCCGGTCCTACAACAGCGGAGCCTGCCCGCTCTTGGCACACCTTTATTTCGCTTGTAATTCCCCCACTTCTAAATGTTGGTGACAAACTAATCATTTACACATTTGCCCTAACTCATAGAGGGCACGACCGAGATGTCTTCATATGCTCTCAATTCTCAGGCAGCCTGATTTCCCCTGACATGTACATTTATGGGCGAGCTAAGTTCTCCCTCCTCTTAGTAAAGTTTATATTACAGAAGCACCCAGCCAAGAAACTTAGCCCACATCCAGCTCTGTAAAATGATGTTCGGCTTTTATAATCTGTAGACTGCATGGAATGACAGCTGCGTGGTTGTTTATTGCGTGGGGCTGTCCAGAAATGCAAAGATGCTATTAATTTGCTGCAGACCTGTTTGCGCAGCTGAACTTTGGCCAGTGCACTGCCCAGCCCACAGGGAGCAGCTAGCCCAGTTTCTAGGACCCTTTGCATTTTCTTTCTCTTTTGTGATTAGCTCAGGGTCCAGAGAAGGTGGGGGTAACTGTGCCCCCATTCTCCCATTTTAAACGTAGAAATTCAGTGCAGAAGAGATAGTTTGATTTGTCAGCTTAGGAGGCGTCTGTTCACATATGTTCCACTCCTATGCTCTCTTACAATGTGTGTCGTGCACAGAGGAAGTTCCATGACGCCGTTCAACTCTCCAACTTTTTTTAAAAAGACTCTAATCGTGCAACAAGTCCATTTAAACATGGTCCCTCTCCATCCCACCCCCAAGACGTGGTTTTGACAAAGATAACCATGTTACTGAAAGATGGAAACACAAGTCCGGGTGTGTGTGTGTGTGTGTGTGTGTGTGTGTTAGGCTAAGTGCTTGGAGTTAAGAGGGGAGGCCTGCGCAGGCACCAACCCTTGGCTAATGCACTTGCCTCTGTTCTCTAGGACACATGAGTCCTACCACCTGCACCCTGAGGAAGCACAAGACCAATCGGAAGCCACGCACTCCCTTCACCACCTCCCAGCTCCTGGCTCTGGAGCGCAAGTTCCGTCAGAAACAGTACCTCTCCATCGCCGAGCGCGCCGAGTTCTCCAGCTCGCTGAGCCTCACAGAGACCCAGGTCAAAATCTGGTTCCAGAACCGAAGGGCCAAGGCAAAAAGACTGCAGGAGGCAGAACTGGAAAAGCTGAAAATGGCCGCGAAACCCATGCTGCCCTCGGGCTTCAGCCTCCCCTTCCCCATCAACTCGCCCCTGCAAGCCACGTCCCTTTACGGAGCCTCCTACCCGTTCCATAGAGCTGTGCTCCCCATCCCGCCCGTCGGACTCTACGCCACGCCAGTGGGATACGGCATGTACCACTTGTCCTAAGGAGGCGCTCAGCCACAGACTCCAGGCTGGCTGTTGACGCCTAGGGCTCCCTCTCCGTCTCCAGCAAGGCCGCCGCCACCACCCAGCAGCTCCCGATCTGTGAGCCCCGTGCCCCACCCCGAGGGGCCGGGGCCCACCCCACATAGCTGGAATTCATTCTCTGGCTGAGACACCAATCAGGTCCTGTTCGCTTGGTGTCATCTTCCTGACGCCCCCAACTCCCTTTACAAAGATTGGCTGGCTGTTTTTATATATAAGTGTATACATCTATATAAAATGAAATATAAAACACTTTTATACAACAGACGTAAAAAAATTCAAATTATTTTGAAAGGCAAAATTTATATGCATATATATATCTATCTATACTTTTCCTCTATAGTTCATCGTCTTAAAAGAGACTGCGTAAGTCTGTGGCATTTTTCTCAAAGGGGGGAGACTGATGATTTGGGAAATTGGCTAAAATATGGCATTTTTGATAGGGTCATTGACTGTTGCTTATGGAAAACAAACACTAGCCATAGACACAATGCGCGTAGGAAGTAGATAGGGGGCATATCCCACGTTTGCGTTGTACATGCACACCACTCATTAGGTATTCGGCCCTAGTTGTTTTTCTCTCTTCACGTTGTTGAAGTTTGACTTGTTTTGTTGTTTTTTAAGATCAGTAGCTGAGGTGAGCAGCATCCTGAGAATGCCTCGGGGCGGGTAGAAAATGGGAATCCTCCTTAATTCCTCCCCGGGCGACTGTTGCTTAACTGCCTTTCAGATGATTGGAGTCAGAAGTTAAAGCACGCAGAGATGCTAGGTACTGCAATCCTCACACATTGCAAACAGTGATTTTTTTTTAGGGGGGAGGGAGAGAGTGTAGTACTTTTTGCTTAAAAAGATGAATATCTTGTAACCGTGACCTACATACTAAATATTCTTGAATAGATCCAGAAAGGAAAAAAATCATGCTTTCTCTGTGTGTACCTATTGTATGTGCTGACCTTATTAGAAACGTTTATACACTTTTTAACACGTTGGGGGCGGAAGGTAAAGCCATGTTTTGACTTGCTAAAGATGGTGTTGTCAGACAACCCACTTAGCTCCCCGGTATGTCACCTCCCTGCCCCTATCTCCTCTCCCGCCAGTATACATTTTATCCCTTTGAAAGGGTACCTTGTACAATTTTATATATTTTATTGAAGAGTTATTTCTTATCTCTTATTCTGAATTAAATTAAACGTTTTATGCCATAAAGTTTGTCCAAACTCACAATTATTTTAAGAGACACTCTCCGGGTTTAGCTCAAAAGAGGAGGGGGCTGGTACGTTTAATTATTATTTTAATGTGAACCCATCAAGAGTTGTGGCCAAATGAAGCCTGTGGCAGGGGGGAAGGGGTGGGAATCTTGAAAATCTGGGATTCCTGAAGAGAGGTGCACTTGCTATTCGTGTTTCGAAGGACAGTGAGGTGAAAATGGCAGGGCTGCCGCAGAGCGATCTGCCCGGAGTCCAGTAGTTTATAGATGACCAAGGGCAAATCTTGAACTTGAAATCTCCCAGCTACCCAGACAACAACAAAGAGCCGAGGATGAGGGGCTTGTAGCTGTCTCCCTGGAGGGGGCGGAGGTGGTAGGGTACACTGCCTGGGATTGGGGGGTGGGGTGGGCACTCTCAGAGTGTGTCACCATTCCTGTCTACTCCCCAGGAAAGGGACCTTGAAAGAACACCTAGAGGATGGTTTCTTCCTCTAGGCTCCCCAGCCTCCGTCTCCCAGGGAGAAGCAGCTGGGGTTTGGAGCCATGGCCAAGAAGGCAGAGTGGGTGAATAGGTAGACGCGATAGAGAAGAGCTGAAACTCCGCCTTCTGTGGCACTGATAACACCTCTCCGAGCTCTGCTTTCGGCTGGGAGGCGCCGGCCACCCCAGGGACAGGAGGCAGAGGAGAAGGAAAACTTCAGCGCCGCGGGAACTGCGCGGTGGGGAGACCTGGCACCTGGTGCGCGCTCGGGCCCGCCGGCGTCGGGATAGGCCCTCACTGGGGAGATGGTCCCGGGAACAGTGGGTCCCGGTGGGCTGGGGTTCCCAGGGGTCACGCGACGTGTCCCCTGTGCCGGGCGTGATGCAAACCGAGGGGTCAGCCCGAAGCTGGAACCCGACTTCCCCGGACTGAGCCGGTGCAGCATCCCCGAATCGACCCCAGTGTGCGCCTCTGCCATCCACCGCCCCCCCCCCTCGCCCCAGCCCAGGCCTCTCCGGCCCGAACTCCTAACTGCAGCCTGGGATCCAGCCACATTCACCGAAGGGATGCGTTTTCCTTAGGCCCAGGCGCTTCCCAGCTTCGTCATCAGCCGCCAAGTTGGGTCCCTAATTAGCCTGTCCACCGAGCTTCCTCCCCGGCGCCGCTCCGACCCCGCAGCCCCGGGCGATCTCAGTCCGGGCGGGGGATCTGGAGGTGCCGGCTCCGGGTGCAGGCTCAGCTCGCCCCCGGGGAAGAGGGGGTCGCGATCCGCAGGGCGATTCGGAGAAGCCGGGCAGCGCAGGGGCAGACTGGACTCCCAACTAGATGACTGCGCACTACCCTCCTCGCCTGGGATCCCGAAGAGAAACTGAGGCTCAAACATCCGCCCGTCGCCGCTGCTGGTTGGGTGGCATGACCTAGTGGGAGACCAGGCCGGGGGTGCGCGGGGCTCCCGCTGGGGCCTCCAGTTCCTGGTGGTAAGCATGGTCGGGGCCTCTTTCAGGCTTGGTCGGGCACGCGGGGTGTTTTAGAAGTCAGATAGATGGACGACCTGCGGCGCCTTTAGGACCCTGACTCACCCAGGACCCGCGCCGCCGCCCGCTGGAAAACACAGCGGAAGATGCCAGCGTGCAGGCCCTGGGCTGCGGATTCCCGCCGACCCCGGCGGAGAGCCTGGCGCACGGACCTACCCGTCTTTGCACACCTTCAACCCTGGCATCCAAAAACCTAGCCGCAAGACAGCCGCGCTCCGGGGGAGGAGGAGGGAGAAAGCAGGGCCGGTCCCACGACCCGGGGCGCATGCGAAGGAGGCGCTAAACATCTTCTTCCGCGTCTTGTCCTTTAGCCGTGGCACACGCCTAGGGCAGGTGTTACAGCTGTCGGTGACAGCTCGGGGAACTGAGGCCCCGAGTGGGGGCAGCCCGGCCCAAGCATCCGCGGAAGAGCTGGGCGTCAGCTCCCGCAGGAAAGCGCCAGAGTCCCCATCCCTTCTCCTGGGGACCCCGGCTCCCGCGGCCCCTCCCCCTCCCCGGCCTGCCGCAGGAGGTAGGCACCGGGGCCTGGCTGAGAGCGGACGCGGGCGAAACTTCTGCCTGGCCCGATTGAAAAGAGGATCCCGGCCTTTGAGCAGAAGCTTGTCTGACCGAAGGAAAACTCCCACGGCCATTCTTTGCTATAAAAGCCTCTCATTTGCCACGGATTGGAGAGGCCATTGCCCCACCCCCCATTCCCTTTCCACTGCTGGGCTTGAAATAAGCATAAACCTCATTTATAAAAGAACCCACGTCACACACACACACACACACACACACACACACACACACACAGAGTCTCCCTCTCTCCCCGAAATCACTGGGCCTGCTGGTCGGTGAGGTTGACTGTGCCTGTTTGCCCCTTCCATGTAAGCAAAACAAAACAAAACAAAAGCAAAACCAAAAACAAACCCAAAGACCCAAACACACCCCCTGCCGCCCCCACCCCCAGCGCACCCCCAGCGTGGGGGATGCCGCAGGCCTCCCTGTTGCAATAAAACGGTCACAGCAAGTAGGAAAAGCCTGCTGTTAGTTCCTGGGCCCCTAAACTCCCTCTCCCACCCCCCAGCCGCCCTCCCACCTCCTCCCTCCGACCAACTAAATAAAAAGCAGTAAAATTAACTTTCCCAAATAGCTGCCTTCAAAGCGGAGCAGAGACCCCGGCCGCGGGAATCCCGAATCCCGCCCTGATAAGGTTCATAATAATCAAATCCAAACTCCAGGCATCTCCTCCCACTCCGCTGCCACCCCCTCCGGACCCCTGCGCATTTGTTGATGAAAACACTTTGATGTCCCGAGTCCTCCAAACAATTATTATTATAATTTTAAACAACCTGGTATTTTCCATTACTAACGGCTCGGGCTTTGAAGTTACACCTCATAATTTCCTAAATTAAATAAATCATTTTAAGTTTGCACTGGGAGGCTTTTAATAGCAGAGAAAGGAATATCATTATCTTATTGAGACCCAATTGTGGCGGCTCCAGTTTGGCTGTAGCTAGGGGCAAAGTAGGCTCACTCTAACAGACATACTTTATTAACCTCCCATAACTCTTGAAAGAACATTTTTATATTTTCTTTGATTTCCCCCCTCCCTCTCTTGTTTTAAAGCTGTCCCAACCTTTAATTAGTGCCTAATATGAAAAGCATTATTTTTTTAATGCTATGTAATTCACCAGAGGCAACATGCCAACTTAACAATTGTTTATTAGACTTGGTTTTGCACACAGGGCAAAGAATGCCGCTCCAAACCCAACTTTTCATGGGTGGTTGCACTAATTAATACAGTGTCTGAGACTCCTAGGGGGTTTTTTAATATTGGAGCCTATGGGGGCGGAAGGGGGTTTTAGAAGTCCGGCTCCTGCCGACGTGCCCCGCTCTGATTTCTTTCATGCTGTTTAGATCCTGTCTGTGGAGTCAGCACTGGCAGAAACTGTTCCCTGGCTCAGCGCAGACTCCCCGGGCCAGAGGCGAGGGCCTGGGGAACCCCAGCACCTCTGCTCGCTCGGGATGTATGGGTGTGCGGCCCAGGCTTGGGGTGTTCACAAGGGCTTTGGGGTTGGGGGTGCCCTTGACTCAGTGTGGAGGGGCCAGCGAGGCGCTGGGGTTGGGCCAGAGGCAGGATCCGCCAGGTGTCCCTGGGCGGGGACCTTGCTGACAGTGAGGCAGGGCCTGGGATGGCACTGGGGGAGAGGGGGCCACCGGCCAGCTTCCTTCTCATCTGATTTCTCCTGCACTGCCTGTATGCCTTCACCTCTGGCTGCTCCCCTTTGCGATCCTTTGTCCCCTACCTCCCGCCTGCCACTCTTCTTTTTCCCCTCCTGCCACTCCTGCCTGTGCCTGGTCCCGTCTTTCTGATCTGTCCTCTCTGCTCACCGCCCTCAAGCCCCTTCTTAACTTTCTCTTTGCTCCCTCTTCCTGCCCTGTCTTGTCCCTTGGCTCCGTGGTCGCGTGCCTCGGTCTTTCTCCGTGTTCGAATCTCATCTCACCGCTCCCTCTTACGTCTCCCCCTTTTTTCCTTTTCTTTCTTTCTTCGTCTTCCTTTTCCTTCTTCCCCTGCTCCTGCGATTGCGGGCCAGATCGTGGGAGCCCAGCCTGGCACGCCGGCCTGGCGGGTCCCGACGCCGCGAGTCCCGCGCAGTGGGGGCTTCTCCCTACCATCACACCCTCCCCTCTCCCCCCTGCACCTGGCCAAGGAGCACCGGGGGCGACCCTCGCGCAGGAAGGGGGCCGCGTCCCCAGATTTCCGCAGGGGACCGTGGACGTCTGGGCGACCAGGGCAGCGTCCCAGCGCGCGGCCCCTTCCGCCCCGCCCGCCGCCGGCCGCCCGTTTGATGTCGCGGGCCCTGCAGGAATGCGGCCGGGTTATCAATCACCCAGCTGGATCGCGAAGGTCTCGGCCTAATCACATTTAATTGCTCGTGGAGGCCCACTCTCGCCCCGGGCCGGCCGCTGCGCTCAATTACTCCCCAAATACCTGCCATCAATAAGTGCGCGCTGACACAGGCCCGGCCCGCTCCGCCGGCCCGGGAGACCGCAGCCGGCCAGGCGCCCGCGGCCGCACCCCGCCCCCCACCATTAAACCTACACCTCGCTCCCCAGAGGAGCCGAAATCCCAGCACATAGCTGCAGCCCCCTCGCTCAGCGACTCGCATCCCTCGGCTCCTGCGAGTCTCCCCACCGTCGGGGTGGCCACCTGCTCGGGAGTTAGACCCAAGCTCGCTTCGTTCCAGGACGTGCAGTAGCCCAGGTAGGACGGGACCTCGCGACCTGGCCAGTCCCCAAGCTCACCGCGGGACCCACGAGGCAATAGCGCCTCCCAGAGGCCGGAGAGTTACCTGGGGCTCTGGGCACTCAGGTGTGCTAGCAGCATCGTAGGCCAGGTACTGACTGATTCAGCTTTCAGGCGGGATCTGACTTATTCCCCCTGCTAACTTAGCGAAGTAGATACTCTCAAGCGCACATCCAGGCGAGGCCACCACAGCCC